TCAAACTCATAGCAGAACGATTTTGCTGGCCTGGAATGAATAAAGACGTGAGGGAGTGGGCACGCTTCTGTGTAAGCTGCCAGAAATCCGAGGTTATTAGACACAACAAATGTCCCTTAGGTTCATTTAAAACTCCCGACGTTCGTTTCGACCATGTTTATCTGAATTTGATAGGACCTTTATCAGATTCAAATGGATACTCTTATCTCTTAACCTACGTAGACCGTTTCGCTCGATGGCTAGAAGAAGTACCTATCAAGAACATCACTGCTGAAACAGTGGCCCACGATTTTGTCGAACGATGGGTAGCAAACTTCGGCTGCCCTTCAACCATCACTACAGATCACGGACACCAGTTGGAATCTGGACCTTTCCATTGTCTGACCACACTATTAGGAATCACCCGCTTCCGAACGACCGCCTACCACCCCAAGCAAACGCGTTTCTAGAACGCTTTCACCGACAACTAAAAGCTTCACTATCAGCTGCAAACATTTCTCAGTGGGCGGACATTCTTCCACTCATCTTACTAGGTGTTCGCAATGCAGTGAAAGCTGACACTGGATATACTGTAGCCCAACTCGTTAATGGAGCGACACTTCGACTTCCAGGAGAATTCGTGGATTCTTCATCCTCTTCAATGACCATGGATCTAACATCCTACACGAACAGGCTTACAAACGCAATGCGTTCAGTTAAACCTGTTTCCACTCGACCACAATCAACTGATGTTTTCGTTCAGCCTGACTTACAATATAGTACACACGTCTTCGTTCGTCGAGACTCATATCGACGACCTTTTGAATCAGCATACGAAAAACCCTTCAAAGTACTTCAACTCGAACCTAAGTGTTGTATAATCGATAAGAACGTTACCAACGATAGCATCAGCATCGATCGCCTCAAAAGCAGCGTATTTAGATGGAAATTCTATTCACGTCGATTCTCCCCCGGCACAACCGAACGACACAGCTCCTGAACTTACAATACCTCACTCGACAACCAATGCGCACGAGGATACTTCGGCAGTACCAGAAAATAACTTAAAACAACGCGTTCTAAAAGAAGACTAAGATTTCCAAAATCTTTGAACGATTATTACACGTAAGCTACTAGTTGACATTTTATATCATATCGATTTTCCTTTGTAATATATATAAGTAAAAAAACCAATTTTACTATGCTTATATATTCATAATTTTATTTCGAAAAAACCAAAAAATCATTTTGTAAAAATCCTTTTTTAAGCTATTACGTGAATTTATTCTCCACTTTTTAGCTTGCTTTGTGTTTTATCGCACGTAAGAGTGTATTTCGACATGCTTTTACATATTAGTTTATTTTCTAGGACGGTTGGAAAAGAAGAAAAGTACGACGAAGTTTACGATGAGTCGAAAATTTATTACTAATTTCTACCATATGTATTACACGGCAGGAAAATGCTAAACCTTGCAAGCTATCAGAAGAGTGTCTGCCAACGACAATCTCGTTGGGTTTAAACTTCTGACTAACCACGTCTTAGGGTCGTCACTACCCTACTAGAGGGGGAGATCTGTGGCGGTAAATAAATCCCCAAAATAAATAGTTCTGCAAGTCTTCGACATTGGATACTGACCACGATAGTTTTGATGGACTCACCTAGCTGAGGGCGCTCCGTCACTTGTCCGCACCAGATCACAAGTGGAAGGCCGTGCTGAACGTCCCCTGCAATCGCTAGCCAGGTCAGATCAGTCGATCCTCGATATATTGATAGCCTATCAAATATATCTTCGCTTCTGTCTTTTGGTTTCACTTGGTGGGTAAGATTCACATAAGAAAGTGTTACTGGTTAAATCATTTTCAAACTCCAAATGTCTGTGGCATCTTTAATGGTTTGTCATCGTATTACGTATGGTAGTTCCAAAAACCGGTAAATTAATATTGTCGTCTACTAACCTCTGTTTGTATATATCGAGGAGTAGATTATTGTGTTGTACCAGGTTTCGGAGCGTCTGAGATCATGATGAGTGTTCAGGAAACGACTGAGAGTACTGTAGAGATCTGCGTTTTCGTTTAGAGTTAGCCGAAGCCTTTCCTTGTTGTGACCGGGGGTTCTAGTTATCCTAAGTGTCCAGCTAACAGATGCGGCCAGTTTGGTTACGGCGTTACATTGAAATGAGACGCTTGTACCTTTTGGGGGAGCCTAGATAATATTTTCTTGAAAAATTTCGTCCACTAGTGGCCTTTCACACAAGCAGCAACATTTCCATTGCCAAGCTATGCTACAACTCGATACTGTGAAGTAGATGACGTTACCTTTGTCAATGGGTTGGATCTCAACGTTTAGGGATGCCCCTTTTCAAAGTTTCGTAAAGTTCGGATGCATCAAAATACAAACATATTCGGTGTAACGTTCTGGTCTAAGTCGCACGGTTATTGCTTCACTGCTGCGACGACGTGGTCTGTCACTCTATGCTCATGGAAGTTATCATTTGCATAGCACAGCCTGGATTCGATATTGTCAGACCAGAATGGCATGAGTCGCAAGGTGGGGGTGTACGTGCCTTAATCCTTGGAAGTTCGAGCGTGTCACGAGGCTTAAAAAGTAAAATGTGCGAAAAACACCCGAATATAGGGAATTAATGTCGACATGCGTAAAAAGTATACAAATAATGTTACAACTCACAGTTTATCGTTTATGAAATCACGTCAAGGTCACCATTGAGGGTTGACGGCAACTTCGTTCGCAAAATCGTTATCGAAGATCCCAAGTCTAGTCAACCCTGACGATGTTCATGAAGGACAACTATATATTGAGACGCTGACGTGTGCCAAGTAGCACGAAACCCGGGTCCAGGGTTTCCTGTTGACTACCTCCAACCACCATCTAAATCTCAATATATAGTGCCCGCAGTGTTGAGTCACCTAGACTGGTGGCCACATTGCAACATGATCGATAGCATTCGATCTGCACTAATAAGGACTAGACAAGCATGACATTGATCACCACCCAGTGATCAATCAATTGTAATCACTGAATTGTTTACCCTGGCGATTCTTTACTGTCACATATACAAATGGGATTAACTATACTGGTGAGCAAAACCAAACATTGTATAGGCGTGACAACCTGAAACCGTGTCAGTGTACCAAAATGTCAAGAGAGTACTAGTGTATATGGATGTACGAGGTATTGAAAAACTAATACCAATGTTGTTAATCTCTGTCGAAGCTGAACCACCAAAGTGGTAGTAACAATATATTTAATTTAAGTGGTTCAAATGGTTCAAATGGTTGTGGACGGAATAGAAGAAGCTTTCGCTTAACAGGCTTCCGTGTCTATTAGCAAGGGATCACCAAATCCTCCAGGCAGGAACCTAGGTATGTTAACAATAAAAGAGGAAAAGAAATTGGTAAATCATAGTATGATGCTGTCCTTGGTCCTTAAGAACAGGTCAAGTTGCCTCTTGAAGGACTCCTGAGAAGTCGCTTGGACTAGCTCGGCCGGCAGCGAATTCCAGCTTTTGACAACTCTTAAGGAGTAGAAGTTGTGTCTACATTCCGTCTTGCTATGTTGTGTTTCCAGTTTCTGGGTGTTACCTCTTAGGTTATTATTCGAACTAAGCTTAAGTAGGTGTTTAAGAAGATGTCCAGAAGTGTTAAGAATGCTATAAGCTACTAATAAATCACCTCTAAGACACCTATATTCTAGTGGGTAAAGGTCTAGTGAACGGAGGCGTTCTTCGTAAGGCTTAGATTTGAGTCCTCGAACTGATTTCGTGGCTCGCCGTTGGATACGCTCCAAAGTGACCTTGTCCTTTTGGAGTGAGGGAGGAAATACTATGTTTCCGTACTCTAAATGGGGACGGATGAAACTACTGAAGATTGTGTGGAAAGTTCTTCCGTCAAACTGGCCAAAAATGCGCCTCAACGTTACCAATGCAAGGTTTGCTCGGAAGGCATTTTTGTCGCAGTTAGCGTAAGACTTTAAGTCATGGGGCACCAGGACTCCTAAATCTTTTTCGACTTGGGATACTACTAGAGAGGAGTTTCCTAAGTTGTAACTGTAGTCTGCAACATGTCGCAGATGGACTACTTTACACTTTGAAGTGTTAAAGGTAAGTCCGTTATCGTCTGCCCAACTTTGAAGTCGAGTCAGATCCTCTTGAAGTGCCTGTGTATCGTCTTGGTTGCGTATCTCTCTCCAAAGTTTCACGTCGTCGGCAAAAAGTAATAAGTCTGACGTTACCTGTTGAGGAAGATCATTTATGTAGATGAAGAAGAGAAGAGGCCCTAGTACTGAGCCCTGGGGGACCCCACTAGGACATTCCATAGCCTGAGATAAAGTGAAATTAACCCTAACCTTAAAGTGTCGATTTTTTAGGTATGAACGTAATAAAATGACACGACTTTAACTGAAGTTATTAAAGTTGAAGTCGAACAAAGATTCCGTTGACATGATAGGAAGGCAAATGCCTTCATATTTAGCGACGTCGTTTGGAACATTATACTCATATAAGCTCGAGCTCGACAACAATAGATTACCAACGTAGGTGACCGAAGTCGTTGATTGGGGGCCTACTCGAGTTGGACGGATATGGTGTGACCATCCAGCCTACGTTGAAGTTAGTCTGGCTACTTTGATGACTGTAGAAAGGAAATAACGACTATACAGAGATGTGTTGGTAGGCACTGGTACAAGATACAGAGTGCGACCACTGCCGCATAGGCTAGTACAAGGCATGTAATTAACTAGTGCGTGTTGGTTGTCCTTGACGTTGAAAAGGATTGGTAAACTGTTTGATATTCAGTGACCTGTATCCTGGATGATTTGGCAAGGGCCGTGTTATTTCACTGGCTCTACATAACCAAAGAATGACCCTTTAGAACCGAAAACGAAGCCCATGGAAATAATTTAGTATCATGCAATGAAAGATGCTTGATAAAGTGGTACATATTAGTTTGTAAAATCTATGAGTTACGAATGGGATTTATTTGAACTCATTTCAGTGGTCCCATTTCAATTTGTAGTTGTGCGCGGTAAAGGGGATTTTGCGAGACTTGACCTTGTCTTTACTGTGTTAGTTAGTTTCGAGAACGCAATAAAAGGTTTGTGACCCGGACAAAATATAGTGTTAAATAAAATCTAATCGTATTTTTTTCGTAATTCTACGCACTGTTCACTATAGCGTACATTTTTGGATAGCTGTTCTTCGTGAGACGTTACAACGCTTCAGCGCGTGTACTTCTGAAACTGATTTTGGGGCGTTAAAGAGCACCTCACTTATCTTTATCTCACTGATATCCCTATGGTGCCTACGAAATTGCTATTTTAAGGGCTTAGCGAGTAACTCAGAGAAGTAAAGTGTTTACTTGTCTGTGCATAACCTCTTTCGATTGATTCATTCAATAGAGCCATCACTACACCAAGTGGATCTGAGAGCTACATAGAGGAGTCTATTAATTGCATTATACTTTGTTTGGAGTACTAATAGGATCTTGGCCTTCTTTCAAAATGTCTAAGTGTGTCTGGGCCATGTTTTACGATAAGTAGTCTAAATAATTTAAGATTTTATGATGAAAACAAGCCTTATTACCATATTTGATTTATCTAATGGCCTCTATTTTGGACGGCATAACTAAATCATACGAATCGTTTGGTATACATGATATTGTAGCAAAATCATTCTTTAGCCTACAGTTAAGCGCGGGACCAAGACCATGAATTATGGAAAGTGGTGTTGGAACTGCATGTTCCTGATTACATCTAGGGTACCGGTTGGAAAGTATGACACGTTTTCACCTGTTATTTGGAAGGCTTTACAAAAGTGATTACGGTATCCGGTAGACATTAGTCTCTGTCTTCATGCATTCTGCACTGAATTCCCCCTTTTACAGCTATTTTCAGGCTTAAACTGGACAGTACTTCATTAATTACAAACTAGTGAGTATTGTCGTTATCCGTTTGTTTCATGACATCTGCTGATATTCGTTTCCAGTGGTTACTTGTTCAATCATCCATTCGTTGTTTTCGGACCAACTTGTTTGGTCAGGATACAAAACTATCTTTTGCCGCTAGTAGTAGGGTTGGTATCGACTGACGATGTCATGCACCTATTGGCCATTATTTATACCGTCCATACTTTTGGTGGAGTTTTGTTCTCTGAGCTGGATGGTTTGGTCGTGGAGCTTTCATCGTTCTTCTGAACGATATCATCAGTACAAACTTCAGATAGAAGTGAAGTGTTCGAATTTCTCCATATGTGTTTCACAGCTTGTTCTGTGCACCTCGATGTTGATTGGTCCTTATTGACCTTAAATTTGTCATTGTTTACTTCTTTGTTTTGGTTGTGTCTCCCATTAGTTTGATTTTTGTTCAGAAGAACGATGAAAGCTCCACGACCAAACCATCCAGCTCAGAGAACAAAACTCCACCAAAATCATCCACCTGAGCTACAAATCTTCTCCACCATGCCGTCCATACATTCAAATAAGGTTGTTTGGATAGATCGATCCAACATATTTAAACTACAGAAGCTGTTAGGCAGTTATTTCATGAGTAGAGTGTGAATATTATGACTAAACATCATTGTTCTCATCCGCGAGTAACCACTTTAGTATCAAAGACCCTATCATTCTTCATTCAAGTTGGGTAACCTGTAAAATTTTTCGACGAATGCTTTTGAAATAATTTTCATCTTGTTTACCTATAATGCATTATATTTCGCTTCAATTTTTTCTAGCATTAAACCTTCGGTCGACCGAATTGGGTGGAATAGCTAACACTGATTGCAAGTATATACCCGTGTAAACGACTTTATAACCTGGGATCCTGAAGGTCTGTCTTCGTAAAATACACAGTATATTTACAGATAGTCCTACCCCCATATTTCCGGTAACGAAGTAACCATATTCGGCAGCGAAACATGGCCATTAAAAGTAGAAGACAGTCAGTCAGTCAGTAACAACGTAGAACTTCGTACGTACGTAAATCAGTTCGAGTTGCCACACCACATTAGCACAGAGATTCAATGATCGACTCAAATTCCATAGTGATAGAGGTAATAAGAGTATAAGCGGTAATCGGGAAAATTAGTGTTTGGAGATGTTATTTAAAGAGTATAATACAGTGAAATAAATTTGGGAAGGGAAAAAAAAAGAGACAAGGAGGGATAAGATCAAAATTTGGGAGAACACAAAGGGTGTATGCACCTGCACCATTGCAAACGATTTTGAGCCATGTCATTCAGGGTCTCTAAACATCGGTTGCTATCATCTCGCGGTCCCCAACCAGGTAGTCTACACCTACCAACATGACTCAGTCCACTTGTCAGTGACTTCATGAACTTGTGCCATGTTTTGGTCTGGCCGCCCCTAGCTTTCTTCCAACCTACTCCTATACCACTGAACATCGCACGCCGAGGCAGTCGGTCGTTGGGCATACGTAACACGTGTCCCAGCCATCCCAACTAATGAAGTTTCACTACTTCATCAATTGATTTGCCATCCTTACCTAGTACCCGTTTCCTAACAACTGCATTACTTACTCGATAGTCCCAGGATATACGAGCAATATTTCGAAGACACCTATGATCAAATACTAGTAACCTACGAATATCCTCTACTCTTGCCGGCCATGTTTCACTGCCATAAAGTAGGACGGAACGAACTGCTGTGCAGTAAACCCGTCCTTTCACAATTGATTGATCACTGGGTGGTGATCAATGTCATGCTTGTCTAGTCCTTATTAGTGCAGATCGAATGCTATCGATCATGTTGCAATGTGGCCACCAGTCTAGGTGACTCAACACTGCGGGCACTATATATTGAGATTTAGATGGTGGTTGGAGGTAGTCAACAGGAAACCCGTCCTTTGGTTGATAGACGGATATCTCGCCTACGCCATAAATGACGCAAGTTGGTAAAAGCTAGTCGAGCCTTCTGTATCCGTGCTGAGATTTCGTCACACACCAGACCACAAGGGCTGATGAGACTTCCAAGATAAGTGAAGCGATCGACAAGCTCAATTACTTCACTCCCTATCATTAGTTCGGGTGTCAATGCAACACAATCCTGAAGCAACATTTTGCATTTCGAGGGGGAGAATCGCATCCCGAACATGCTTGCATTGTTGCTTAGAGTGGTCATAAGACTGCATTTTGTCAGCGTCTTCACCAAATAGAAATATGTCATCAGCATATTCTAAGTCAACAAGTGAACCTCCCGGTAGAAGTTCAACCCCTGGAAATTTAGACGAGGAAAGTGTTATCTCTAAAAGTACGTCGACGACAAAGTTGAACAAAAATGGAGAGAGTGGACAGCCCTGACGAACACCACTTGAGGTAATCAATTCTGATGACAGTTCGCCATAAGCTCTCACTCTACCAGTTGTGTTCGAGTAGAGAGCCTTTACAAGGTTAATGTACTTCTTTGGTACTCCTTTCAGTGACAAACACTGCCATAGAACCTTACGATCGACAGAGTCGAATGCTGCTTTAAGGTCGAGAAATACTACGATTCGCGGGCGTCTGAACGTGTGTGTGTGTTCTAGAACCTGACGTAGTGTGAATATGTGGTCTATACAACCACGTCCAGGTCGAAAACCAGCCTGATTTTCTCTAGTCTGCTCTTCACGAGCTTTAGTTGGGCGTCGAAGTATTATTGAAGCTAATATTTTAGACACTATATTAGTCAAACTGATTCCTCTGTGATTGTCACAAGAGGACTTTTGTCCTTTTTTATAGACTGGCACAATCAGTGATTGAGACCAGTCAGATAGGATTACGTCCAGTTCCCAAATTCTACCTAAGACCTCAGTCAATCTCACTGCTAATACTGGGCCGCCATCCTTAAAAATCTCACTGGTAAACCTATCAGGGCCTACTGCTTTCCCACGCTTCAAATTTCCGATAGCTTTTTCAACTTCGTAAAGAGTCGGAGGACCTACATTAACTTGCCATTCAGGTTGACTGGAGATCGTGGGAAACCGAAGTGTGGCTGAAGGCCAGTTGAACTGATCCCTAAAGTGTTCTGTCCATCGATCCATTCTCCTGGATTGGCAATGTATAATATGTCCATCTTTTTCTGAGTCATGTCAGAATAAGTAAACGATTACACGAGTTTGTGTAATTAAGTGACAGGATGGTAGATCCATGTTTGTTAAGCCAATCAGATCGTGTTCTGCTAATGAGTGAATATTTATTCCTATTTAACTAAATGTACAAATAAAAATAAACTGTCTCTAGATAAAATCTGCCTCATTGTTTGTCTTCAATTAGTGAATATTAACATTGATTTGTCAGTGGACACGGGCAAATCTTATCAAAACTACCCACTATTCAAAAAGATCAGTACAAAGTTATTGTTTCGCAACATAATCTTTGCTCAAGTCCTGATTTAGATCAACGTATGAGTTAGTTTAAGTAAATACAAGAGATCTACACAATTAAAAGATTTTATTCCTTTTACCAGTAGTCCGATTGATACGAGTTGTTAACATAAGTAGCATTTATGTGAACAAAATCAGTCAGTAGACTACAAAGAAAATTCGAACAATCAATTAGATTGAATATAGTAACCAATTAGGAAATGATGGTAAATCAGTTGATGAGGTTGTGTTATGTATGCGTGAACACTGATTACCACGACGTGCAATGCTAACCGGTGTTCGGGATGGTTGGAAGAAAGTTAGTGGCGGCCTAACCAAAACGTGGCATCAGTGCTTGAAGTCACTAACTTGTAGTCTGAGCCATGTTGGTAGATGCAGACTACTTGGTTGGGTTCGCGTGACTATCGTAACCAATTGTTGGAGACTCTGGGTGACATGGCTCAGAATCGATCACAATGGCGTCGGTGTATACACTCCCTGTCTTCCCTTAAACTAAGAGATTAAAATCGCTTCATATCTTTCTATCTACGTACTAAATCATTCTTCCTGTACTATATCTTTATATGCAATCTTTCTTTTATGTATTACCACCATTGAATTACCTACATCTATGAATTTGTTGTTCGTCTTGCTGTGCTAATGAAGTGTGGCAACTTGGACCGATGCATATGTGCCTGGTCCTACGTTGTAGCTGACTGACTGACTGACTACCCGCATATTACGAATAAAGTAACTCAGTGACACATACTTCTTTCTCCAAGACTTCTTGGTTACTGGAATTTCTTCTAAGACTGCAAGCACTCACGTATAAAACTCGCTTAAGTTGTCACAATTGATGAGCCTGTCCAGCATACCGAAATAACACGCGGTTGATAGAGACTAGTTGATGTGAACGATAAGGAAGATCATGACTAGTATGGGACTTGATTATTTATCTCTGATATTTTATAATAGAAAACATTGTGTCGTCTGATTTCTTGAGAATATTCAATGACTTATTTTATGTGCGAGTTCTTTTCCCTTCTATCACAAATTTGTCGCTACTTTTGTTAATATGCCATTTGTCTTTCTCTTTGCTTTCAACTTTTTATAAAGTCATCTGTCTTTATTTTGCTGCATACAGTAATTGCTCCGATAATCTTCCCAGTGAAAACACAAACACAAATGTATTTTTGAAAATATGAATAAGTTGGTTCTGTTTCAAATTTTGTCATCTGAAGGAGGATCCCAGCAAATTCTACTTGTGATACATATGATCAAAAAACAGATTTCAAAATCTACAGAATAATTAGGGCAGTACATCATGAAGTTCTCTGAAGGTACGTAGCATAATTATCTTCTGTGTTTTTTTCTAGCTTATTTACACAAACGATACGGGGTCCCGGATTCATGAATATCTTGCTGAATCCCTTTACTTTTGGCCTATTTTAGTGAGGATTCAAAGCAATTTATGATAAGCTTATATTTATAATCCTAATACCTGGTTTTGTGAATTAGTTTTAACATTTATCACGACTAATTTCTTAAGAATATGACTTACTTGTATGTTGTTGAATTTATTTAGTAGTGTTAGTGGTGATTACACAGTAACAGTTTCTTTACATCGTAACTGAAATTTCGGCTTGGAGTTCTCATTTTTGAGAGCAGTTTTGTTTATTCAGCTTTAGGCAGTACTCCATGATGTTGTTACTTTCCGACTGCCCAAACTACTATAATTGAATTAGGGTTTGAACCGGCATCCTGTTATTTAGAAACAGTGCTCAAAATTACTGTTGAGTTCTAATCATTTTGTAACCCCCGAACCATTAGTTTTCACCCGATTTCCGCTTGAACCACAAGCTAGTATTGTCTGTCTACAAAAAATAATTATGGTTTCGTCATGTAAAAGTTATATCTGATTACCAGGTTAACTAAATTACATTAAACGCTTTTTTCGGTAATTGACAACCTATTCCATATCCAATAGATAAAGTTTGCTCTCCTGTCTACGAATGTTAACCAGATATTTAAAAAGGTCACTTGTTATGTTTCAGATTCAAGTGGAGTGCTTCATTTAAATTCAACTTCGAATAAAACAGTCAAGGAATATGATTGCCAAAAGGTTGGCATAAAGCATTCATCCATTGGAGATGTATGTGACGTTGTTGTAAGTCAGAAAAATATTAATGAATCCAAAGAAAGCTCAAGTGATAGACAGATGACGTTTACTTCAGCTGGTTCACATTCAAACCACTCAAATTTACACAGTTCAAGTGAATATCCACAGAAAGCAAGACGGTCGCTTTTAGACTGGGACAGTTTTATAAATCTACCTAAAAAGCCTCGAAATCTGTCGTTAAAAACTGATGATTTATCTCGAACGTTAGTTACAAAAACGACAGATTCAAGATCTCCAATTAAATCAAAACAAGAAGGTGATAGTCGTGCATCCCCTTGCTTATCTCCTATAAAAGCAAACGAATTTGTTGGAAATGTAAAGTTAGCACCTCTTCGGTGTAGTACAGAACATGACAAGTTATTAACTAATGGTGGCTATTCGTCTTCCGAAGAACACAGTAAAAGTGTCCCTGCAAGGGGAGGCGAATCATCTGATTTCAGCAGTCCTGATTTTACTTTATCAAGTATCCCAGTTAAAAACCGTGCTGAAACGAGAAAACGAAGATCGTCCCATTTTGCCACTGCCTCCAATGACTCCGAAGTATCTTCAGACCAGCTAGACATGCACTCTCAAAGGCAAAACCAAAAAAAAATTCTGATTGGCAATCATAACAGTAAAAAAAGAAAGTTGTCACCTTCTGTTCGAATTCGCAGAACAAAAGACACTTTTACATGCATAGCAAAGGAAAATTTGCACAACGGTGTGCAATCGCCTGATTTTGATTTTGATACCGGTGTAAGTTTTTAAAAAATTAAAACCTAGTAAGGGGCTTTTAAATTTCACTACGATGGAGTTTCTGGATGGGCATTTCTAGTAGCTGGCAGGGATAGAAAATTTAATTTTAGCTGGGCAAATTACCTCACCTGGGTTATTTTGTTCTCCAGGGAACGTAAAAATCCTAATTGGAAATCTGTCAAGTTACATGCTACCTCTTCACAATAATTTTTGTCCTGTATCTTATTAATTTGATGACTTACCAACTGAATACTACACAAATAAGTGAATATTTTGAAAAGGTTGCTTAAATAATCTATGTTTTATATCACAATTTGTTTTATACCTAACTGTCGTAATCTCTATACACTATACAAATGTCTGGTCGTGCTTCACTCAAAAATACAGAGAACACTTTTCAGTAAATGACGAGAAAGCACTAAGCACTTTACCCGCGAAACAATTATCATGTTAATATATTTTTAAGAGTATGTATTGTTTCACGTCTCAGTTATTGGCTGTTTTTAGCTAACATGTGATATTTGCCTCATTTTCTTAACGTAAAACTAACAATTTAGCTCCTTTGGTGAACAAAACAACGATTTTGACTGTACTAAACCCCGTCTTATTATAAAATAATATTTATCTTTCTTCGCTACGAAACTTTGTTCGTGGTACATTATCTAATCTTAACCGACAATACTCCTGCCAGAAAACGATAATTCACTTTGAGAAAAGCACAGAATTATCTCTGTATGCGTTTTTAATAATTAGGGGCCGAAGTATGTTATATTTTAGTAAAAGTAGCGAACGATCTCACGTAATTAAACGGGATAGTTAGTCGTACTATAAATTCCTTGTATTATGGGGATTTTTCATGTTATGTATTTGGTGTATATTTCAAAAATTTGTTACCGACCTTTATAATTGTAGAATTCAATACATTGTCAAAAGGTGTCATGTCGCTCTCTATGTGGTGCCTGTGATCATGATAATCATATATCTAATGAATTAAACTTAAGAGAACTCAGCGGAAGTATTGCATCTCAGCAAAATCATTCATTGGCCAACAATTCACTCACGATTACTCATGTGGCAACACAACGGCCATC